ATTTGTATGTGGAAGTAAGAATTTGATAATAGGAAATGACTTGTTTGAATAACAAAGCTGAGTATGACAATAAGACAAGTTTATCATTTCAAATGACAAGTTAAATGACTAGTGTATGATTAGAAATAACAATTATGATAAGTATGTGGGAATAACAAGTTGAGCTTAAAGAATTGACAACTTTTGTAGAGAGAATAACAAGTTTATCATAGGTGTTTGATTGACAGAATGAGTATTGACAGAATTGTTGTTAGTCAGTTAATAAGTTGTGTTAGTGAACTATTGTATGTTGAATATTTTACAGGAAAAAAAACATGGCATTTGAGGGAGCCTCCAGATCAAAGCCGACACACAATGGCTGGTTGCTATTCAGAAGGGAGTATTTGGAGACATTAGGTGATAGTGATATCAGAGGCAAACAAAAAAGAGACACTGTGTCAAAGGCATGGAGAGCTTTGTCTGATGAGGAGAGGAAGAGGTACACAGAGGAGGCGAAGAAAAGAAGGCCAGAAAAGATTAAAGAGGAGAAGAAAAAGAAATATGTACCATCATTTTTAACCCGAGTGTCCTTGAAAGGTTTTAAGAAATTACTGCACTTTGTGAATAATAATGATGAGTTAAGGGATAGGGTGGAGAGGATAGGATTTGGAAGCTTGTTAAAGGTTAGATTGAAGAGACTTCCCCGCGATCTCATTGTGACTATGCTAAGATCATATGACCCACCAACACATCAATTTACAATATGGGGGAAAACTGAGGAAATAGGAGCAAAATATGTTGAGAAGCTCCTAGGAATATGCCATGGTGAGGAGAAGATTAAAATTGAAGTTTCAGAGGATGATAAAATGTACAAGAACTTAAAGAATTAGTATCGGAGAGTGCCATTCAGCAAAATACTAGATGACATTATTTCTGGGGAGGAAGATCACAGATTTGAATTCTTGTTTGTCCTATACACGCTAGGTACCTTTCTATGTCCGTCATCTAGCTCAGAAGTGAGTGAGAGGCTGGTGAGAGTCATGCGTTCCACGATGGATGACTTTGGAAAGTATGATTGGGCAACACATGTTATGGAGGACCTATGGAAGGAAATGGCTGACTTTGTGAAGCTGTATAGATAGGGTAATGATAGGCAGGGGAGCAGTACTGTTGGTGGCTGCGTATACTTGCTTCTGGTATGACTATTTTTTTTCTTACTGTGCAATACTTTATTGGCAATATGAACAATGTAATTGGTGATGATATATGGTGTTGCAGCTTTTTTTCGGTGAGCATTTTAACCTCATCCAAGGTTCGCAGGAGGCTCCACCAGTGCTATCCAATACTGGATAGATGAGAAGATCAAAGAATTGGCAAATATTGAGAGGAAGAGCGTTAAGGGGCTGTTGTATGGTGAGAAAGGGAGTGATGTTGTGTCTGGCAAAGACGAGAGGATAATAAATGTTGATTCTCTTAGTAAACTTCTTGTTTGTGATAGTTACGTTGTCATTTGATAAACTGAACTTGGTATATATAAAACTTATGTTGTAATTAGGTTTAGTGAAGTTGTCATTTGTTATAGTTGACATTGTTACTTGATAAACTTAACCTGTTAAAAACGGTACCAAAGTTGTGATTAGGTAATGTGAACTTGTCATTCGGTAAAGTTCAGGTTTGGGTTGTTATTTGATAAAGTTGTTATTGATTATGCCTGAGTTGTGATGGGGTCAAGTGAACCTGTCATTTGTTACAATGTAGTTGTTATTTGATGTACCGAAGTTGCTAATTATAATTTATTAGTTGTGATTGGCTAAACTGAACTAGTCATTTGATATAGTAAAGTTGTTATCTGACATACCGAAGTTGTTATTTATACTACTGATGAACTTGTAATTTCATATACTGAAGTTGTTATTTATAATAGTTAACTTGTCATTGGGTAAAGTGAGCTTGTCATCTGCAATAGTGAGATCATGATGTGGTATAATTATGTTGCTAGTAAATTGATAAATGCCATTGTCATGCAGGAGCTGAAGCAGTTACGTGCACGATTAATGAAGAGGATAGAAGAAAGCCATCAGAGGCTGATGAATATGGTAGATGAGGAGCTGTTGAAGGTGTACATTCCAAGAGAGACAGATGGGAAGAGAAAAGGAAAGGCTCCTGCTGAGACACTCGCATCAATTGTTAGTGGGTCTAAAGATGATGATGAAGAGGAGAGACAGCATGCTGGTGAGACTAGTGAAGCTGTGCAGAAGAATGATGGAGGGAGTGATGGTGAGAGTAGTGAGGAGAAGGAGAAAGATGACGAAGGGAGTGATGATGAGATAAGAGAGGAGGAGGAGGAGGACAAGAGAAAGGTGACAGGGGGTGATGATGGGACAAGTGAGGAGGAAGGCAAGGAAAAGGATGATGGAGAGAATGATGAAGATAGTCAGGACAAGGATGAGGGAAAGTGCACAAAGGACAATGATGAAATGGAGGGTGACATACCCACGCCTACTACCCCCATAAACCTGTCATTTAATGTTGAAGGTGATGATGTGGAGGGTGACACAGCCGTCACTGTATCCCCCCTAGCAATTGTTAAATATGTTGACCCTGTTGAGAGCCAAACCCCCATCGGGGTGGAACCTGTGACAGCAGTTGAAGGTGTACAAGCACAACAAGTAAGGAGATCTACCAGGGTTCGCTTCAGCAAAATTAAGTCTCCTTGGTTGGAGTTGAAGGCACAAATAAGGTTGAAGAGGCCTGCAGAGGATAAAGAAATTTTCTTCACCATTGTCAGCTAAAGTGTGAAAGGTGATGAAGGCGACTAGTAAGTATTGTGATACTCAGCTTTTCTAATGAGGTTTTGTTATCACTTGTTAACATAACCCATATGCTAACTCACTTCAACCATTGTCAGTCCTTTAATTAAAATGTATGATGAAGATATTACCCGACGCTTGCTACATTCTCTTGGGAGAAATAACAGAGTTAGTAACAGGGTCATGTCATTAGTTTGTAAGGCTGTGGTGGATGAGCAACAGGCTGTGGAAGGGCGTGTAAGGAGGCATATTTTTTATGCGGACTTTATGGTAAGGTTTCTTCATTAGTTTGTGAAATGACAAGTTTGGATATGAAAATTATAAGTCCTCAAAGGCAAATGACAAGTGTAGTATATAAAGTAACAACACTATTAAGGCAAATAACTGTCTAAAGAAACTAATTGCAAACTAACAAAATCAATTTGTGTTCTTTATCAGGAGTTAATGATCGGTGACCCAGCTCGGTGGGACCCTAACTACCATGCACGACAAATAATTCCTCAATTTGTCGGGTACAACATAGGTGACTGTGACTTGGTTATGGGTCCTGCACTTGTTGGTGAGCATTGGTTTTGCTTTGCCCTTAAACCTAACATCATGAAGTTCTATGTCCTGGATTCCATGCAAGGAACTGTTCAGCCTAAGAAGACCACAACTAAGAAGAAGCAAGCAGTCACCTATGACCCTCAGGAAATGGCCATAGTAGGATGTGTAAGAATCACCTGGGCATATTACATTGTATTATTATTGTCTGAAATTATAGTGATGTTGATGAATATCTAATATATATGTAGAGAGAAAGGTTCCACGACATTATTGACATGGTTAGGCCAGATTTGACTGAGAAAATGCCAAATTTGGAAATTGTGCGGCCTGATGTACCTTAACAGAGTAATTTGTGAGTATACATACACTGCATATGTAATTTACTGATTTCCTATATTTATTCTCGAATTGTTAAACTGTGATGGTGGTGTTGTTCCTAGGAGGGACTGTGGGGTGCAGTTCCTAATATGGCTCAGCAGATAGGAACCCAATGTTCCACTGGAATACACCCAGGTGATGTGGTTTGCTTAATTGTTGTGACTGGTAAAGGGGCAAAGTGAGATTAACTTGCTGTTGAATCTGTTTTACAGGGAGATGTGGCAGCTTTTCGGCGTGATTTGATGTGGTGGCTGGTGAACCATGATAACAATGAATGCTGTGAGGATGCACTGAATCTTATTCCACATCCACAGAAGGGGCGAACGTCCAAAAGGAGGAGAAAGTCCCTATAGAGAAAGAATTTGGGCCATGAAGGACATTGATTGTAGATAATGTTACTGCGTTATCATTATGTGTAGTGAACTTGTTGTCTGGCCTAACTGCTACCCAGTTATGACAATTAGTAATAGTGAAATGACATTTTTATTGACATCATTGAAATTGTGTTCAAGTGATGCTATTTCCACTTTTCTTTAACGTATGACAACATCAATATGCCAATTAACAAGTCCATTAAGCAATACATGAAGTACCTTTTTTTTTTTTAATGAAATGACACTATTTCCACTTTTGTTTAACATCTGACAACTTTAGTATGCTAAATAACAACTCCGGTTAAGTGATACATGAGCTTCAATTTTTTCTAATGAAGTTACAGTATTTCCACTATTGTTTGATGAGTGACAACTTCACTTAGCGAAATAACAACTTCAGAAGTGGAATCAGTGAAGTTCATTTTTTTCCTGTGTAATGACAGCCTTTCCACTTTTGTTTACCCAGTGCCAACTTCACTTTGTGAAATAACAACTTCGGAAGTGGAATCGGTGAAGTTCATTTTTTTCCTGTTTAAATGACAGCATTTCCACTTTTGTTTACCCAGTGACAACTTCACTTTGTGAAATAACAACTTCGGAAGTGCGATTGGTGAAGTTCATTTTTTCCTGTTTAAATGACAGCCTTTCCACTTTTGTTTACCCAGTGACAACTTCACTTTGCGAAATAACAACTTTGGAAGTGCAATTAGTGAAGTTCATTTTTTCCCGTTTAAATGACAGCCTTTCCACTTTTGTATACCCAGTGGCAACTTCACTTTGCGAAGTAACAACTTCTGAAGTGGAATTGGTGAAGTTCATTTTTTCCCGTTTTAATGACAGCCTTTCCACTTTTGTTTACCTAGTGACAACTTTACTTTGTGAAATAACAAGTTTTGTTAACCAATTGGCAACATCAGTATGCCAAATAACCACAAAACACAGGTGGTTTGACAGCAACCTCTATTTGTTGATATAACAAGTAAGCAGTCTGCATTTACAATACAACCAAGGGAGTTTACAGTAATACTAAGTCAAATAACCACAAAGCACATGTGGTTTGACAGCAACCTCTATTTGTTGATATAACAAGTAAGCAGTCTGCATTTACAATACAACCAAGGGAATTTACAGCAATACAATGTCATTTAGCAAAAAGTAAGAGGTCCGTTTACAACAACCAGATTTTGCAATAGTCAATAACAAAAAGACATTAACAACGTCGTTGACTTCTTTTTTCCTTGTCAGCAAACATATTACTTGCAAAAATAGTTGTGTAGCTATGCAACTAGCAACACCCTTCTCCCAAAAAAATTAAGAAGAGTGGAGCATATATACACCAGAAAATTAGTTGTCGCTTGTAGAAATTAACTTCAAAATAGGTTGGGATTTTTGCAACTCCTCCTTGTGTGTCCAGGTTGGTGGCATCTAGTGCAATGGTAGACTTTTTTGTTCTGGAATTGTGATTCCTGCCGTTTAGTCCTTGGTCTTCCAGGAGGCCTACTTGTATTTGGTGGTAAAAGCAGGGTTTGTTCAGCAAGATTCTCAAACATATAGTCATTTGGGTCAGGCATATCGATTGTTACCACTGGAACCATGCTCCTGCCATATATTTTCTCCTGTGCTGAAATTTTGTAATAGTCTTCAACATATTCATATACATTTCCCCCCACAGTCTTATGGGCTTCACAAGCATGGCAGCATGGAATTCCTGACATTTGCCAACCAAGACAACTACATTGGTGTAGACCAAGGTCTACTCTTTAATCTCCACGAGATGTATGTACACACAGTCTTCCGCCTCCATAATTGTCACAGCTCATATACTTACTGAAATACACATTCTCCAGAACCTTTGCCTCGGTTTTTGACCCAACACAATTCCTCCACTTACTCATAAACATATATGATGCATGCATCTTCCTTGCTACTTTCTCCCGATGCTCATGGATCATTTGCGCCACATTATGCTTTCTCTCTTTCACCATCCAAGAATTGAAAGACTCAGCTATATTGGTTGTTATATTGTCCCATCTTTTAAATGGGAACTTGCTCATTGCCCACCTATTCACATCACCTTGATTGATAACCCAATCATGTAACTCAGGAGACATAGTTCTTAGCTCTGCCATTACATTATCAAAGTCACTATCAACCCTTTCATAAGCTGCTCTATCAAGAACCTTTAATGCATCTTCTTTTGACCATTGGCTTGTCCTTTTACCTCTGTTTACTTTCACTTGTTCAGCACTGAAGTTTTCCTTCACATGCCTATAACAATACGCATGTCTTTCACCTCCAAATATTGCTTGGACAGATCCTATTATGGCATTGTGTCGGTCTGACACAATCGTCACCTGCACCGAACCAACAATTTCTTTAATTTTGAACAGAAACCAAGTCCAGTAATCAAGATTCTCTGATTTCACCACTGCTATTGCAAAAGGCAACAAGTCATTATCTGCATCATATCCCGACGCTAAGAGTAGTATCCCCTTATATAGACCACTTAAATGAGTTCCATCAACATATAATATAGCCCTTGCACCACTCAAAAAACCCTCAATACACGAACCATATGCAATGAAAACCCGCTCAAATGTATTACCAATGACAGCCCATTCAGCAACTATTTTATCATCAGTTTCTTTCAATTTTTGGCATATCCACGGTATGAACATATAGGATTCTTCCAGTTTCCCATGTATGTGTTCCATGGCCTTTTCCTTTGATCTGTAAGCTTGAGCATATGTTAGCCTCACACCATATTCCCTTTCCAGTGTCTTCCTTATTTCAGTAGGACACTTTTCGGTATGGTTCCTTATCTCCTCAAGTATTATTGATGACGTCAACACAGCATTGCCAGCATAAGTGACATCTAGGTTATCTTGCGCTAAATGAATGTGTTCATTAATGAATGTGGTCACGTGTAATAAAAGAGTATCCCTCCCAACAGCATTTGTACAAATCTTCCATGGACACCCTTCCACTTTACACCTCACATTCATCTTCTCCCTACTGTTTCTCACATATGTTGTTGCAAACTTCTGTGCAATACTAAACCTGTACACAGCCTCCCTAAAATCTTGGGCATGTGGAATATATTGCCCCACTCCTGCAAAAACTCCAACCCATTTCATGCAATTCAAATTACCCCTCAATGTCCCTTTACTCCCTGAACCGTCACTGAAGTTTGTCTGACTTAAACCCCCTCCTTCACACGTTAGGCATTCAGCACCATAGTCAACAATGAGTGGTTCATAGTTATCAACAAGGTTCACCACACCTTCAGTCATTTCTCCTGACAGCCCAAACAAATTCTCACCCCTACACCCATAATAACAACATTCGAATAGAAATTAGCAACAACACATTAGGAAATAACAACATTCTACTGTAACAAAGTTAGCATAATAACAAGATTTGTATGGGAAATATCAACAATTCATTATAAAATAACAACTTACTACTATAATAGACTAAGCAATATAACAACATTTGAATGGAAATGAGCAACAACTCATTACCAAGTTACAACTTCCAACCACAACTTCATTACCTTAATTACAAGATTTATATATAAATTAACAACAATTCATTACCAAATAACAACTTTCTACTGCTGTGCAGTACACATGATAACAACATTTCTTTGGGTATTAACAATAATCCAATACCGAACAATAATTATCAACTGCAAAACTTTAACCACTTATATTTCTCCATCATTCACTGCTCCACCTTCCTTCTGGTTCCCTTTCGCTGCTCTATACAAATGAGCACTACTATCGTTATATCTAAACATATTGCAAATATCACCTTCATCATAAAGATCAACCAGTGTGTCCTCAGCAAACTTAACCATGTACTTAATTTCGCACCCTTTAGTATCATTGTGTACCAACTGTGATATTGTTCCCCTTAATTCCTCCAGTGTTATCCCTTCTTTTATGCTGCTTGCTCTCACACTCCCTCCACCATATTTAACTTCACCTTCATTGTTTCTTTCAAAATACCTGCCAACATGGAAAAAACAAAACAATTCCTTCTAACAGCTTGACCCATTGTTACAGTTCATTTTGTCATCCTAACCTGGAACAACAATTTACATATAAAAAAATATATCAGCTTCACTATACTTTTATTCAATCAAATTTGCATTTATAAATCAAGACCAACTAACTCTTCTCTTCCCCACTTGACATTAGGGTTTTACAAGTTGGACATTCTAAATGACAAGATCTTTACTCCTCTCCCCCTACTGCACCACCTTAAACTTCATACTCAAGCTAATAATTATTACCTCCTTCCATTTCCTCTCCCCCACTCTCCTATTCGTGATATTCCTAATAGAGATCAGTGGCAACCTGCGTCATGAAAATCACAAGTCAACAATCTGACTACAAAGACTAATATTTTGAATCTCAACCCAACCGAACCCTCCTTAAACAGTGTTATTCCATGATCAACTCCACCGCTCACTCCCTCCATACCTATCACTCAACGACCCACAATGCCACTCACCACATTCAAGAACAACATCACATTCCTCGGTCTTACAGGGTAGAGAAGAAGAAGAGTATACTTAGAAACATTGCAAACATTACTTACTTGATTCTCAACCATGTGCACCACCAATCTTCTCCTCCAAGCTCTCCACGATCACATTGTTTGTCTCAACCTTCATTAATGAATCTGATTGACTGAGGGGCAATTTCATCTTTTCACCAACATTTGCTATTTGCAATTTGAGACCGGGTTCCTTATGGTAATTTGGCTTATTCAGGTGACCATAGAGTGATTTTGCTAATTCGAGGGTCTTTATTTGTGATTTCCCCTTTATAATTCTAGCCAACAGTAAATAATCCTCTTGGGTTAAGTGTGAGAAACTTCCAAATTTGTTGACCATGCTTCTGGAGTAGATATAGTGGATTATTCTGAAATTATCACACATTTTGGCTTGGAGGAAAACTAAGTTCTCTAGGGAAGGCATCACTTTGCATCAGAATCTTGTATGCTTTCACAGAATTCATCTTAGGCCCTCTTATCTTTATAGGGTCCAGTGTGATTGTTAGACCTCTAAGTTTAGTGGTGATGAAGCTTTTGGTTAGTTTCCCTTCATCATCATAAGTGTCATGCACTTCCATATTGCAGTAAAACTTGCTTACCACTTTTGGACAATAATCTTCTCTAATACTTAACCAGTTTTGATAATATTCTATTGGTTCAAGCAAATCTAATCCGATTTTCTTATTTCTTTTTAATGGGTTCAAGTCCACGGATACCATAGGACGGAATTTTCTCGTGGGAAAATCTATTTTAAACTTTCCCATGTTCACATCCTTATCTAATTTTCCCACTAAAAATTCTTCAACAGAGGCTTGTAAGGGGTTACCTTGAAATTGAGCTTGATGAGAGTCTTCTTTACTTATCCCCTGTTTCTTTCTTCATGGTTGTTTGTGAAACATCCTACCTTTAACCCTCAGAGTGCGCATTAGTAAGCATTATGATTCAAGCAGGTCATGACACAAGCCCGTGGATTTAAAATTTCAACATAACTATTCGGATTACTATTTACTATTTAAATTCATATTTCAGGTCCAATTTTGAGAAATCATAACTAATTCTATAAAAATCGTATCTCCTTGTGTACACATCCGACTGAGGCGATCTACCTCTCATTTTAAAGCTTGGGATGTGTATTATGAATCTGCCAAATTTTATGGATTAACTCATTCATTTGATAGGTCAAACTAGAGCTATAAAGTCACTGCTTCATGACCTACGTTTTATCCCTTAACCTCTTTTTACTTTAATTCTTTCTATTTCTTTGGCATACATGAATTGGGTTTACACTTTCCTAATCATCCTCATACATTTCTATTCCTCCCATAAACATTATAATTAAATACATGGCATTATTGGCATCCATAACATAAATTACATAATAGGAGAATTACACATTGAATAATAATATCATTCATTAACGTCAATAATTCTCCACTTTCTTCTTCTTGCCTCTCATGCCATTATTGCTCACCATTGATTGACCTAAATGGTTGGTTAAGGAGGGGTGAGATTTGGGAGAATCTCAGTAGCAAACACTACCCATAAGCATGCAAGACATAATGCACATGCATGACATGTTATAACATTAACACATGAATGCCATGGAAAGTAAGCTACAACATTTTATGCTTTCATAACAAATAGCCAAGGAAAAACATAACATAAACTTGCAAACATAACTTTGAAAACATTTCCTCATAGCTTAATCACATCATGGCAGTACAGCCACATCATGCAAGCATACATATCAAGCACACAATATAGGTAAGTTTACTACCTTGTAACATAGCTTTCCTCTTGCTTTTCCTTTGATTCCCTTGTCTTTCCAACCCTATGAATTTTTGGCCAACACCATTAAATATCCTCTTGGATGTTCCAAGGTCCTGAACACATCCATACACAATGCCAAATATTCATCAGAACCAAGACACCAACCTATTTCTTAATTGGTTCTTTCTTGAACATAATTGAATTCTAACTTTTGAGTTTTAATTCCAATCTTCCTAAAATTATTTCCACATGCAATTCCCACGTAATTTTGCATGTAGAATCCATTTCCAAGCTCAAAAAAATCAAAATCCAATCCTAACCATTCAGAACAGTCAAGGCCGAACAGAATCACAAATTAAGGGAAAGTTGGATTTCTTGCAAAATCAACACAGAACCACTTGATTCTTGTTGTTTCCAAGCCTTTAAACATGTTTCTAAAATCTATTTCATCTTTCCCTAACATTATCAATTTCGTACATCACCTCTCCACAGGATTTTAATCATCAAAAATCGAATCAAACCAACCACCAGGCTCAAAAATAACAAGGGAGGTAGAAACTACATCAAAGACGGCACACATACCTTGTTTTAGAGCTTGATCTGGCTTGGGACCACTTGGCTTTTCTTTCTCCCTCTTCTTGCTCTCTCTAGAAATCATTTTGCAAGAGCTTCCCCATGAGTTCCTTGTGCTTGGACAAAATGATAAGGAGGGGAGGGGTATTTATAGAAAACAAGATTGAATCTCGGCCGTTGATCTAAAAAATACGTGGGTTGATCTGGAACGTCCATTTTCTCTTTTTATCGTGTGATGAGATGTGTCCTATAACATCATACTTACCTCATCTTGATAACATCATGCTTACATCATCAAGCCACATGTCTTTAATCCAACCGCATACATGTCTTACATCCGACCGTACACGTGTCTTGCATTCAACCATACATGTAATACCTTCTTTTCCAATCTAACTGTATACTTATCTCTTCCATATTCATTCATCATTTTTGCATTAAAATAGGGAGAAAATTAATATAAACTTCATACAAAATATAGCCGTTAGGCATTCCTTTACCTATTTTGCCATTCTGTACCGTATCGGGTACTTTTTTTGAGTCCTGACTTACCCGGTATCACTGGGACATGTTCTGGTACCATTTTCTCATCTTAATTAAGTACATATATGGCACCATCTTGGAGGAGCATAGATGAAAATAATTAGCTCTACTAGCAGGCTACTTAACCTTATCGAGTCACGCAGTAGAGATTTCATTATAACGGGCAGACAAAGGACTGTCTAAAATATTCCCTTACTGTGTTCTCATTTTTATGCTGTCCATAAATATCTTCTGCTGACTCAGCATGATGACTCGTAAGTGTCATGATTACATTTGGTGACTAAGCATGATGACTCGTAGGTGTCATGATTGCATTTGGTGACTCAGTATGCTGACTCATAGGTGTCATGATTACATTTGGTGACTCAGCATGCTGACTTAGCGCTATCATGATGGTCTTTAGATATTTTGTTTCTCCTTTTCCCAAAAATATCATTAAATAATACTTAATCGGGGTTACCTTCTCCAAATTCTTTCTATCGGCTTGTAACTCCGTTAATCTATTTCTGGGTTTCATTCTTTCCCTTTCATCACGAGAAATTCCTCTAATTTTTCTCGGGTCAAAGGTCAAACTCTAGATAGCTATGTTGACTTTCCCCGGATAGGGTATAAATAGGCTTTAAATTTAATTAAAGCTAACCTTGTCAGTTTCTGGGGACGAAATTAATTTTACAATCTGTGTAAATTCCTCAACTATTGTTCCCTAATTTTTCCTGATTATTTGAGGCCATCTCACAGCTTAAATAATTCAATTTAAGTTACTATCTCAAATTGCCCAAAACCCTAGAATGACTTCAGGGCATTTCTGTCATTTCTAGCCTTATATTGGCTCTGGGATCTT